TGAGGCATCATTGGATAATTCTTCAGATGCCCCCAACAAACATTGACAGGAAAAAAAGATCATTTGTTCACAATGTCAGCATCTTCAGCAACTTCATCTTCTAACTTTTACAGTGTCCTGACAAGAAAAGCCTGAACCATTGTTGAAAGAAGAGAGGCAAACCTCTCTGTTTCCTTGAATCGTGCAAGTTGTGAAATAATCCTTCAATACTCAATTCATCTGAGGGTGAAGATTTTATTGACAATGACAGATTCACAACTGAGGAACTTCTGTGAAAGTGATTTTACTGATGGAAATGATTCAACTCTTCCATCATCTCAGGATGGTCACTTGCCTGAATGTCAAGTGGTCAATCAAAAGCGTCAGAGTGCAGCTATTGCAACTGGAGAGACATTGGGGAAGACCAAGAAAAGGCCCAATACCAGATTAATCCGTGAATCTATTGAGAATATTTCTGTTGAAACTGCCCCAGCCATCCTGAAACATAAGTCAGTGGGTTTTTTGCATGAAACTGAAAAAAAGTTAGGACCAAATAACATAAAAAGAAATGATTTAGGTGTTTGCAGTGGCAAAGGCCCATATGTTCTTGGCACTCTTGGCCCCTTTGTTGTTTTAAAATCTCCAAAGGCTCGAAAGTCTTCAGAGTTTTGCAGTCTTGAAGACTATTTCTACAAACCAAAATTCAAATCTACAGAAGCTGAATGGGGAAGAGCTAAATTCTGGACAAATTTTCAAGAATCCTTGCATAGCAATAACCAATTCACTCCAGAAGATTTAGAAAATGAATTGAATGAAAAAATAAATAAAATTGCTAAGCATTTTATAGATTTTAAACTTGGCACTCTTGATGAAAAGTCTATGGAAAAAAAGAAGATTAATAAGGTTGATTATGGGAGGCCTTACTTGCCAACATACAAGGATCTTGAGGTGAGTATTTATCTTGCCTATCTAATTGCAAGTTAAGACCTATTTACTGGTGATGCTTGAGGTTTTTTATGTTATCTCACTCCTCCAAATGGTAATGAAGTTTATTGCTTACTAATTGAACACATATCACACATTTTGAAGGAGCATCCTGGGAATTACTAGTTCTGTATCTTCTCCTGGAATCTAAATGATCCAAATGTAATTTTTCTTATTTTGTAGTTGTCATTGGTTAGTGGTTATTACTTGGTATTGGCAGATTGTTATTTTCACATGAATTCCAACTCCATATTTTTTTGTATTACTATAACCCCCTCATTTAATTGGAGGTATGTTCTCACTAATGTCCAATAAATAAAATTTTCAATATTAACTCAACTCATTCAGTTACCAAGAGCAAATATCAGGGTGCGTACTGATCCTGGAAAATCTGGAAAGTCCTGAAATTTGATTTCTTATTTTCCAGGCCTGGAAAGTACTGGAATTTCATTTCAGATTATGGAAAATACTGGAATTTGCAAATAAATAAAAAAAGGAAGTATTTTTTCTGGGCTGCGTGTGTTAACCCTAATCGCCACGGGTTGTCGTGTCACGCTACAACCTTGGGTGCAAATGATATCTGCCCTTAATTTTGTTAAGTATTATTTAGGTGTCTTCTATTTTACATACGCTGTGATTATTTTACCAGGCTTTAATATAGATTGTTTCCTATCAAATGCAGTCTTCAAACGCACAATTGTGAACTCGAATCCATTTTTGAAAATTATGAGAATGAAAGGACCGAATTTCTGGCCTCAAGCAGAGCCATCTCCGTGTACGACAACTCCGACCGCTCAAACTTGTGTCTATGTTACCCATGGGGAGGAGACTGTAAGTCATTCATGTGTGCGTGTGCCTGAGTTATTGCTGGTGCATGTGCAGCTTCAGCACTGATGCACCTGCATCCTCATCGCTAGTTTCTATCAAAGTTTCTTTGTTCCTATAGTTTTTTATCTCATTGTCTGTGACTTCGTTACCCGCCATTGAAAGAACTGCATGAAATGAAAAGCATTAGCGGATCGCGGAGCTCGAGTAGCGAAGCGGGAAGCTCGCGGGAAGAAGGACTGTAAGGAAGCCAACAAGACACAGTTGAAGAACTGTCTTAATTTGCATGTTGATGCCAAGAGATTCCCTAACACAGATGTTTATGGTGTTGTGGATGAGATGTGCAACTTTAGAGATGAATCACAACATTGCAGTGAATTGAACGCACAGTTTCAAGCATTTTCAACTTCTGATCGACTGGACACTTTTTGGCATGCCATCCTGTCAAAGAGCACCTACAATTAGAAGCTCTGGAATGTAGTGCAGATGCTCATGCTCCTGTCTCATGGCCAAGCAACAGTTGAAAGAGGGTTTTCGTTCAACAAGGAAATCATGGCGCACAACATGAAAGAACAAACGTTGGTTGCCTTGCATGCTGTGGTTGATCATGTTGCACATGTTGGTGGCCTGGACAAGATGACCATCACCAAGAAGATGCTGCTTGCAGCTGGCAGTGCCAAAACATCCTACAACAATTATGTGGCAGAAGAGAAAGAGCAGAATGCGAAAACCCAGAAGAGGAAGGCTCTGTTGGATGAGCTAGATGAACTGAAGAAGAAGAAAAGACGTACAGAGGAGGGCATCAAGGCGCTTGAGCAAGCAGCAGATGAATATGCAGAAGCAATGGAGAGAATGGGGGATTTGAAAATCATCGCAAAGTTCAACGCCATGAGGCGATCTTTGAAAACAAAGCAACAGGAGCTAGACACTCGTGAACTGAACATTAAAGAAATAGTTGATGAAATAGCTGCTAGTTGAATGTTAGGGTAGTGGTGTTGAATTGTGTTCTGCACTGTATTGACATTATCATGTGCAATATTGAGTGCATTACTCAATATTTGTTGTGATTTGACACTATTGAATTCATAATAATAAAAGTGTGGGCTTGATTTCTAGTTTTTTGTCATTTTTGCTCCTCTGTGTCTGCCCGCTCTATGCATTTACATGTTTGCAAGTTATCAACTTTAGGAGATGATAGAATATGCACGGTTACTCTTTCAGTCATGCTAAACCTGTCGTATACGAGTCCTGGAAAATTATACTGATGATCATGGGGAGTCCTGGAAAAGTCCTGGAATTTTTTTTCTCATTACCGGTACGCACCCTGAAATATGTAGTTGCTGTGTATTTCTTTAAATTCTAATTCACATTTCATATTTAGGAAGTGTAAAAAAAATAAAATAAAAATATGTTAATTAGCAAGTCAAGATATTATATGTTGAATTGATTCTCTTATAGCATTATTAAATTATGAAATTTATGAATTACTTCAACAAGTTCTATTAATGGCGTGACATGCTTGATTTATATTTTTTTCCACTTCCTCTGTCATTAGATTTGGCAATTTATTTTTCCATTGCTGCTTTGAAGTTCAATGTGTAACTTGGGTGGGAAAGATATAATTGAATCTTCATCAGATATGAATTTAGAAAGGCATTTTCACCACAATAGATTTACTTGTGTGAGAGACAGTGTTTGGTGTATGGAACTTGATATATTACTGGTTAAGCCCAAATATAGGAGAGAAAACTTGTCATATATTGAAAACCTTTCAGCTTATCTCACATTACAGAATGAATGCACAACTTAGCAAGTTGCAAATTCAGTTCTCAGTTTAAGATTTATGCTCCTTGTACGAGTTATTTCATGGAACATTTTTTTTTTTACAGTTTCTTGAAAAATTGTTCATGGACAAGAAAACTGATGCTGATGAAGACACTGTGTTTGGAAGCATGTGTAAATCGAAGCAAAACCCACAATATAATCAAGGAAAGTTTACAGAAAAAGAGGAACAAATTGTTACTGGAAATTGGAATAAGTTTCAAAAAGTAAGTTGTGCAATTTTAGTTTGGCTGAATGAAGTTAGATGGCTAGAATTTACTCTGACAAATTTATAGACTTTTGTTTGTAACTAGGGTTGGCAATTTTTCATGACATTGCAAGACTATTGCTGCAAATTATACAAAATATTAACCAGAGCATTTTAAAAAGAAGTTGGTTTCTTTTAGTCAATCAGTTAGTTTGATTTGAATTTATACTATTCACTTTAGTAAAAACAACTAAATTTTAATCAGGAATTACCCTAGTGTATGGTGTGTTGAACTGTAAATTTGATTGAAGACCAGGGCATGCTTTTTATTTACAATATTTTTATTTGTTTTTTTTTTTTAATATGTAAAACAAAATTTCTTGCTGGCGTCTGGAGATCAAAAAGCAGGTTACCAAATGACATTTTAATAGGATGCCACATTTGAAATGTGCAATATTCATTATCAAGCAGATGGAAGGATTTGCAGCACTTGAAATTGAAATTATGAAAATGACAGTAGTCCAAATCAAAGGTATTGTGGATACAGTTTGAAATGTAAGCTTAAAATTACTCTGAAAAAAATTTCAGCATCCAGACAAATCCTATCGTTTGAAGTTTGATAGCTGGAGACTTGCTTGTGATAATGAGGGCCTTGGCTATTGCCTGTCTCAAAGAAACAAGGCACCATATAAATAATAAATATGCTGGTGTTATGGATTTCTAACTGCTGGAGAGTAGTGATTACCTGGATCCCACTTGGGGAAGTAATGTTCCCCCATTCCCAAGTTATGTTAAATTACTTTGAATCTTGACATTCCTTGTGAACGTTACCTATTATTTATGTTATCAGTGCTCTCCATCTCATTCCCTTTGGCCTTTTTGCAGACCATTATTTTATGTGTCAGAGGTGATTCAAATTCCAAATATCCTATCAGCCATTACCTTGTACTCACACTACTGTGTGTGGCTGGTGAGTACCATAGTTACCAAAATATACCTTTTTAAATTGCTGCCTGTATATTCATTGATAAAGATTGTTGATAAAGCCATGTTTTTGATAATACTGTTATAGATGAGAAATATATTTATCTGTTATCCTGCTATATGTTTTGAAGTTTGTATTGATGTTTGCTTTTAATACCTACTAGTTGTGTTATGTGTTTATATAGTAAATATTTTACAGAAATGTCTGTTTCAAGTACTTTTATATGCAACCCATGCCCCAATTACACTGTCATTTGGTTGTCCAGTTGTACAGTTATCTGGTTATATGGTTATCTGGTTATCCAGTTTGTAGTTAGGAGTTGCCTGTTAGTTGGGTTCCATCCGGTTATCCAGTGCATTGGTTAGATTTTTATTTAGAGCTCTCTCTCAATTTTTAAAATTCTACATTCTCTAATAATTAAGTCTTGTATCGGAATAAAATGAAGTTGAACAAAAGAGAAAAAACACCTGGTGGACAGGGATGTCTATAAGGGGAGTTGGGAGGCCATCTTTTATTTAATTCCTAGTATTTTTTAAGAGCCTTGAATACCTTCCCTCATTGAACCAATAAAGACAACCCATTACACTGGTGTGGGACTCCAATGTTGCTCAGATGATGGTCTCATTGTGAGCCTCCCACATGTAGTTCTTAGGTCCTCCAGATTGTTGTTGTTGTTGTTGTTGTTGTGGTTCCCCGGTCTCATTTTTATAAGAGACTCCCCTCGCACAGGTACGACACCACCAACAGGGGGTCGCTCCGGAGCTGTAGGTTTGAGGTTATGTGGTGGTGTTGTCTGAGGTCCTGCCAGAGCGGACATTCCAGGAGAATGTGAGTGATTGTGTCTGGAGCTCTCTGGCAGGATGGGCAGGTGTCTGTGTCTGCTTGGCCTATTCTGTTTGCGTATGTTTGTAGTGAAGGGTGGTGGCCGCAGCGCAGCCTGGCTAGGTGTACTCTCTCCAGTCAAGAGAGCTGTGTTTCTGTGCTGCTTATGTCAGGTGGTGGGTGCCCAAGGACTTTGTTGTTGCCGGCCAGCTCCAGCGTTCTAAGTGTCATAATTGTGTGCAAGTGTTTTTTTTGTGCTGGTGTTGCCTTGGGGTGGGGTGGGGTTTGCACTAATTGTCTGTGTGTAGGTGGGTGGTCGTGTAGGTTGTTGTTGTTGTTGTTGTTGTTCCTTGTGCCACGTCACGCTCGCGTGGGCGGAGGCTCTGGTGGTGGTCGGAGGGGCAGCACCGGAAGAGGGGGAAGATGGGCGAAAGCAGGGAGGGTGGCCAGGAACGCCGACGCCTAAGAATTCTCCCACCCGCTTCCCTTTAAAGAGACGTCATGAACGTAAATATTGGCGTGCAGCGATGGCAGTGGCACCATTGGAAAGAGCAGAATTCCAGCTTTCAGATGAACACAAAAACCAGAAAACGCCAAACTTGAAAATTTTAGGGTAGTCGGTCCCCTTAATCATTTGTGATATATATGTAATTGGTGCATTTTCCAGCTACAAATTCCAATCTTTGGATGTAGTAAAATGTTTTCAGTAATTGAGGTACATACGTTTTTCTCAGGCGTGGTGGAGCCATTATATACACCTCTTTCTCGGTCAAGGTCAGTCAGATACTACGCATGGAAGCCTGGTGGCAGAGAAACAAAACATGTTCCGTATATGTTCTGAACCTTCAGAGTACACACCTTATCAATGGAAAATAGCTAAATGCAATGTCTTTACTTTTACAGCCATTTTACAACACTTCTCTTTAACTTCACTTCTTGTTTGTCTGTCTGTCTGTCTGCTACAAATCTTGTAATCAAAATTTAACACACTTCTACTTATNAATTGAAAAAATAATTTTGTCAGCTACAAATCTTATACCAACTGATATTTGACACACTTTTACCTGTCTAATTGATCTGAAATTTTGCACACTTGTGTGAAGTCAGAGGCAATGCATGAATCAATTAATAGAATAAGTAATTTTGAAAAAAAAGTATATATTAAAAAAATTTCATATATTAAAAAATTGAAAAATTAATTTTTATAATATTCAAAAATTAAATGAGAAATTCATGATACATCTTTAAGATTGGAGACACTGGATTCTTTGGAAGTGTTGTCTTTAAAAAGTAATTTTTAAATGTATATTATTTATTAGCTGGGCACAAATGTTCCCATTTGGCATTAATGGGTTAATTGCCCCTTCTTGTTCAGAATACTTGATATTAGATGGAAATAATGCATGCAATAAGCTTTTTCAACTTACTTTTTCTGGTGCAAATTTTAATTGGGTTTATTAAATCACTCAAACGCATATAAATGTAAAAAATCTTGTGATTTTTTTATATTTCACTTCTTGTGCATAAAAAATGAAATGGACATTTTTCCAAAAATCTCAGGCAAATTAATTTGCCAAAAATTAATAATTATAGGCAGATTATGCTGAATATTCTAGAATCTACAGATAGTGGCTGCTTTCAAAGAAAAGATTTTTAAAACAACTTTTAAATTACCTGATTTACTTCAAAATTATATTGAATATCTATTGATGATGCTTGTATCCATGTCACTTTACTAATCTTCTCATGGGACTCAAGCAGGGAGGGCAACTAAACAGTCTCCTGTTTGCTGCTATGCTTTAATAGCTTTAATATGCTTTTACTGGTGTTGCCTGACTTTTAATTATTATTTGTGTGACCGCAGCTTACATTATATTTACTCACTTGTGCTCTTCTCTTTCCAGACTCATAATTATAAATGTTAGTTTAGTTCTCTCAAAAGACTAAATTTCAAAAGCTCTAATTGATGCTACAGAGAAGCTGTTACTTGCCTGGTTTGGCTCCATAATGTGTAAGTATAGTGCAACCTAAACTCCATTGCAATTGAACTGTTCTATTTTGTCTCAATATACTTCTATTTTGGATGTGTTGTCATGAGCAAAAACAATAGTGACAAATATCAAACAAACATAGAATGTAAAATTATGCTAATGTTGAAAAAATAGGGATAATATTATGAAAATCTATTAAAATAGTAAATGCTGTTCATCTCGGCAGCATTGGGCCACCTTGTAGAACAGCTGGAGCAGATACAACCACTGGATGTACATACTAATGCAAACGCTGCTGGCTTGTCCCCAGTGATGGAAGGAGGCGGTGGCCCCATGGTCCTGACCAGTTCTGAAGTGCCTAACCGACCTGATGGGGTACAGGGTGGACCAGCTGCCGCTGGCGCCCGTGCGCAGCCCAGAGCAGCAGCAGACCCTGAGAAGCTCAAGCTCATCCAGCAGCGCCTGGTGCTACTCCTGCATGCGCTCAAGTGCTGGCGCAAGGAGCAGATCAATGGAGACGTCAGACAGGTGATATATTTTTCTGAGTGGTTATTCAGGGGCCATTTTAGCATCAAGTACCCAACCTTTGACCATTTTAGCATCTAAGTACCTAACCTTTGACTATTTTAACATCTAAGAAGTATAACCTTTTACCATTTTAGCATATAAGTACCTAACCTTTGACATTCTAGCATCTAAGTACCTAACCTATTACCATTTTAACATCTAAGTACCTAACCTTTGACCATTTTAGCATCTTAGTACCTAACCTCTGACCATTTTAGCATCTAAGTACCTAACCTTTGACCATTTTAGCATCTAAGTACCTAACCTTTGATCATTTTAGCATCTAAGTACCTAACCTTTGACCAATTAAGCATCTAAGTACCTAACCTTGACCATTTTAACATCTAAGTACCTAAACCTTTGACCATTTTAACATCTAAGTACCTAATCTAACACACCGTAACCGGTAACATTATTCTCATGTTTCAGTGCAACCTGCCCCGCTGCCAGACGATGAAGAAGAAGGTTTTGCCCCGCTGCCAGACGATGAAGAACGTCTTGTTGCACATGACGATGTGTCAAGCCGGCAAGACGTGCCTCGTGCCACACTGCGCTTCATTGCGTCAGATCATTTATCACTGGAAGAATTGTGCACGTCTGGAATGTCTGGTTTGTGAGATTTTCAAGACAGCTGCTCTTGTCTCAAGACAAGAAAATAAACAAAATCCAAACAATAATAACAATATGGCTGCCAATGCTGCTGCTGCTCCGGGCATGACTGGCCATCAACAGCAGCAGCAGCAACAACAACAGAAGCAGCAGCAGCAACAAAAGCAACTTGGGCCGCAGCTCATACACTCCCTGAGCCCTGGTCACCGCCAAACTCTGCCGGCAGGACATCAACTCAACCTCATGTCACCGAATGCTACACCAAACATGGTTGTGGGCGCTCCAAAGCTGCCCAACGTTTCCTCCTCTATGGTGAGCAGCAGTCAGTGGTAGCACATGAGGGAGAAGTGTCATGCATCAATACATTTATTTCTTCCACTGAAGTTGAATTATTAAGATTAATATATGTTGTTTTTATAATATATTTGCAGTTTAAAGGCTGCTATCTGGTTTTGAGGAGCAAATTTTGTGGCTCAGTGGCAAAAGAGCTATGGAGCAATTTATCTGGTAAACTGCCTGTTTGCAAAAAAATTACAGATTTTGATTTGTGGTTGCAGGGCGCAATGACTCCGAGCATGGCGGAGTCTTGGTTGAATTTGCCCAACCATCCTGGGCAGCTCCCTGGCAGCATGGTGGTGACGGCACGCCACTCAGAAGGCACCAAGGAGTGGCACTTACCATAGGTACCTATATAACATATTTTATGTTTGATATACCTATTAATGTTTTTTTCTTTATGTTTCAGACTCTGCAGAGTCTTATATATGGTAATTTTAACTTAATTTTCAAACCGGTCTATGTTACCCCGTCACAGCTGCCATTAGGTGGTCACATTTTGCCCATTAGGGGCGGCGCCCCCCATTTGCAAACTATGACACTTTCCTATAATCTGTCTTTTGTATATGTAACTAGAAGAGTTCTTCTACAATGCACCACAACCTGGAGTTATTTTACTAAAAAATAAAATTGATTTTACCACCCGGTCAAAGAAACCCCAAGAGCTGAGGTAACAAAGACCATCACTTTTTTTAAATTACATCAAAACTATGAGAGGCAGGAGCCAGCACTTTATGGTGTGTAAATCTAGACTATAGACCTGTATTTTGCATGTTTCAATTTAAGTTTAACTTATCTAGTAAAAAAATGGCATCATTTTAAAAAAAAGTGGTCAAAGTTACCCCATTTTACGGTACCTGTATAAAGCTGGCTTCATTGACCAACTGTAGTTAAAATTACACCCTGCTCTGAACAACGCACCTATGTTCAAGAAGACTGGTGCTTAAAGATAAATCAAGATCAAGATACTGTTACAGTATAATATGCAAGATCACAATTTTTGAAGTGATGGATTTATAAAAATAAGTAGGAAAGATAAATAAGTGATGGATTGGTTGACTTAGCCTTGATTTGATGTGACTTATCCACCCACAACAGGTGGCTTTGTTGTGGGTGAAATTGAATTATTTTCTTTAATTATTGAAATAGGAGTTATCAATTAGGATTATGTGCATGGTGAATAGGTGACATTATTGAGTGTTTATTAAGGTGATTTCATTAATTGGCCAGGGAAAATTTGTTTCATTTATGGTGAATTCTCTGTGGTTTTATATTTGGAACAATTATGAATGTATGATGCAAAACCTCTAAAACTCTAATGTCTTAGAACATCACCTTGTATAGGCTATTAAGGCTAGGCCTAATCAGTAATCACCTGAATAATACTCAACACTAGTCTGCCAAACAGAAATCACTGAGTATCAACAGTATAATTTTTTTTTGTGTTTATAGGTATCTCTTTCCACAGACGGTGACAGACCTACTCGGGACTACCGTACAACTCCCCATGCAGATTAGTTTGAGCCGCTTTTTAACCCATTAATGCTGAGAATTATGTAATAAGAATTTTTCTGAAATTTTCATGCCAAATGACTCTTTATGATGTTAATAAACAACTGAAACACTCAAAACAAAAATTTATCTGAAAATATGAAAAATACAGCTTGGGAACATATGTGCCCATTTAGCAATAGAATAATGATTTTAGAAAAAAGTGAAATAAACATATAAATATAGTCCTTAGTTAGCTCTATGCATACAGACTCCTTTTTATTTCTCAAAAGCTAACTAGTAAAGTATCCATGGCTTTGTGTGTTATTTTTCCATTCAGTCAGAATGCAAGGGACCTTGCGCATCTTGCATATGTGAGTTGTTCTGCCCTGACACTGTTTGCATCTGCTGTGTGTATGCTCTCCTCTTGCAGTCCAANTTCATCTGCACTGACGCAAATCATTTCCCACTTGAGCATTTATGCTCCGATACTCACTGATAAATAGCCAATGCATTCCAAAATACTCTCATTCACCACTTATTGTTCTTATGTTTGCTTATCATAATCTCCAACACTATCAATAACTTTTGTTTCGTCTCGGTGCCAAACTACCTTCTATTTTTAGAGTTTCTTCTTCCTCTGCTGACCATCAGGAGATGGCATTTGATGATCTCTTTTGTCAGTAAGTTCTTTGGAAAGTAAGATTCTCCTTGGTAAATGATTGGGATTGCATGTAACTTCAGTGTCAGAGGCAACAGAGTTGCAGTCAGTATCAGCAGTTGCTTCTTCAACGGGAGGCCTGATTGCAGCATTGATTTCAAAGTCACTATCATCATCAGTTTCTTCCTGAAGTATTTGTTATACCTCGTCCAGAGTCAACCTGAAAAAAATAAACCTCTAATAAGACTATTTCAATGTTGAAAATATCGCTCAAATCACTTCTTGCAATATAACTCATAACTCGTTACAAGGATTTATAGTTGCTGACAATTTATTATAAAGCATATCTGAATTTACATATAAACAGGACAAAATTATCATGAATAGTTTTCTAAATATATATTTTGGAGCTACAGAATAGCAAACACCTGTTAATTTCTCATTATAATATTGTATGACACAACGGGATAGCAATTAAAATAAATCTATGCACATCATGTAACAGAAGGTGCCACAAGTTTCATGTAGAGCGAAATCTTTATTTTATATCCTAACGGGCACATGTGTTCCCAACATTAACATTTTACTGTATGCATTCAATATTATCAACATTATTAATAATTCGGGAATTATATGTAATAGGTGCATTTTCCATCTACAAATTCCAATCATTGGATGTAGTAAAATGTTTTCAGTAATTGAGGTACATATGTTTTTCTCAGGCGTGGT